ACTTTAAGACTTGTGGACTTCAACTCCCAGAATTCCTCAGCCAGCTTTGCTGGCTGAGGAATTCTGGGAGTTGAAGTCCACAAGTCTTAAAGTTGCCAAGGTTGGACACCCCTGGATTAGACCATGAAGGGCCCATAAAGAGAGGAAGCCTTGTTAGAAGGAAGGGATGGGAATTACCATGGAATAAATGAATCCCCTGGTAGCTGTGAGACAGGATAAAAGTCCTCCAAATACGGCTCATGGATTAGTTTGAAGTCCACTCTTCTTCTCGCGAGGCCGAGAAACCCTGGCCTAAGACCATCACAGAAAAGGAATTTGACTAGAGGCGGTCCTCGACTTACATGACAACTGAGCCCCAAATTTATGTTGCTAGGTGGGACAGTTGCTCGGTGAGTTTGGCCCCATTTTACGACCTTTTTTTTTTTTTGCCACCGTTAAGTGAATCACGGCAGTGGATTAGTTAATAACTCAGTTGTGAAGTGAATCTGGCTTCCCCATTGACTTTGTCGGGTTGTAAAAGGGGAGCCTATGATCCCAGGACACTGTGACCGTCGTAAATATGAGCCTGCTGCCAAGCACTTGATCACGTGACCATAGGAATGCTGCAAAGGTTGTAAGTGTGAAAACCGGTCCCAAGTCATTTTTTTCAGTGCCATTTTAACTTCAAATGGTCACTAAATGAATAAGTTGTAAGTCAAGGACTACTTACTGGCTGGGGGAAAAGTTACAACCCAACACATCTGGAGTTCACCCTTTGGGGAAGGTTGTTTTCATGAATGAAATAAACACAACCAGCTCACTGCAAATTCACAAAACACAGCTTTTAATCCCAGGTTTGAAGGAGACACAACAAGAAAAGAAATGTTTAATTATTAATTAACTGAAGAATTTTGGTTTTTTTTTTCCCCCTCCCCCTCTGGAACCAACACAAAAAAAAATAATCCCACAAGCATCACAGTTTAGTAGCGAGGTGCTCTCTCAACCTTCTTTGTTTTTAAAACTGAAAACATTTTATTGCACGAATATAAACTGACTTGTCTTAAAATCACTTCAAAAAAACCAAAACTCCCAATCTAACAGCAGCTGGTCCCAATAAACCATCAAAGGATCGTGCCTGAACTGATCATCTTGCAGTTCGGTCATTAAAATATTGCTGATTTCTTGGGTCCCAAGAAATATTTTTACTTGAGGACACAATACCTCTGTTACTGGCCAAATATAGTAGCACGGTGTTTCTCAACCTTGGGAATTTTAAGGCATGTGGACTTCAACTCGTGGCTGGCTGGCGAATTCTGGGAATTGAAGTCCACGTGCCTTAAAGTTCCCAAGTTTGAGAACCACTGCAGCAGAAGAATAATTATTATTACTCACTTATTGGGTTGAACAAACAAACATCTAGTTCTTATTTCTCCAAGTACCATCCTATCCAAAACAATCTTCTGTATTTAACTGGAAATATTTTTAAACTTTTGTCATAGTATATCATCACCCTGTCTGAGGAAAGAACTGCAATGGATTAAATATTCAATAGGACCTGAATTAATTTATTGGGTGGGGGGTGGGGGGAGGAGCTTTCCTATCTATCCAGGCAGGGCTAAGTTTTACTCATTTTTGTTTGCAGCTACTGGCCCAGCATGTACTCCCTAAAGTACAGCTGCTGTCTCATTACATTTTTAAGATGCTAATGGAGCATTTTCTGCTATCCTTCATTTGTAAACACGTTTTTCCAATTGTTAAGCAATCTACTGTGGTTTTGTCTTGCTTCTCCCCCGGGAGAAGAAGGGATCGGTCAACATGAATCAAGTTGAGCCCTAAACAGAGTCAGTGAAATGGAATCAACTAAAAAAACAAGGAAAACAAATTTCTTTGCAAAAATTACCAGGTGCCAGCACCGTGTTTGTAGTCATCAAACCTAACTGCTTGTATGTTTCGCTTGCTCCAGCAGTTTATGGAATGATATTGCTTCACAAACAACCAGATTCAAAAGCAGGCTCAATTTTTTTGTCTCCATGACACAACCAAAGGAAAGTAGAACAGGAAATCCAGGCAGCCTGCAGTTCCTTAACGCAGAAGCTGGTAAATGACCTGACCTGGCTTTGGTGTCCTCCATTGTGCCACACACCCCACCTGGACCCGCAAGCTTTTTTCCCCTAAAGGGCGGTGTCTGCCGCAAAGTGCATCCTTGAATTTCCCAATCTTAAGAGGGTCCAGCTTTCCTTACAAGATCCCATCCGAAGCGAGAGCGGCCAGTACCCGCATTCAAACTGTGAATGGCGCCTTTTGCATCTCAGCCGCTCGTTCCAAATTGGTTAGCAAGGTAGAAAAAGCCCCACCCTGGGGAAACCCTCATAATTTTGCCCCCCCTGCAATTTTGCAACTCCGGGCAGATACATTCACTGTCGTGGCTGTACGACCCTTCTTCTGTTCGAGGGGCCTGAAGAGAAAATTTAGGTTTTTCACATCGCAAGGAACTTCAGGATTTTTTTTTTTTTTTAAAGTAACAGAGGTTGGAGTTTCTTCCATTGGCAAAACTGCTTCTTCTCTGGTCCAGCTGGAAAACCCACAAGTCCTATTATCACCTAGAGAACAAAACAATAGCATTAGACTCAATGGCTGTATTCAATTCAGTACAGGTAGTCCTCCACTTATAGCAGTTCATTTAGTGACCGTCCAATAGCAATAGCACTTAGACTTATATACCGCTTCACAGTGCTTTACGGTCCTCTCTAAGCGGTTTACAGAGTCAGCCTGTGGCCCCCAACAATCTGGGTCCTCATTTTACCCTCCTCGGAAGGCTGAGTAAACCTTGAGCCTGGTGAGATTCAAAATGCCAAATTGCAGTCAGTCAGCAGAATTAGCCTGCAGTACTGCACACTAACCACTGTGCCACCATGGATCTCAATGTTACAATGGCACAGGGAAAAAAAAAAGACCTATGACCGTTTTTCACACTTAATAACTGTTGCAGCATCCCCACTGGTCACACGATCAAAATTCAGATCCTTGGCAACTCGTTCATATTTATGACGGCTGCAGTGTCCTGGGGTCATTGATCCTCTTTTGTAACCTTCTGATAAGCAAAATCAATGGGAAGTCCAGATTCACTTAACAACCATGTTACTGACTTAACACATGCAATGATTCACTTAACAACTGCAGCAAGAAAAGTCATAAAATGGGGCACTTAAGAAATGTTTCACTTAGCAACATCAGTGTTGGGCTCAATTGTGGTCGTACAGGACTACCTGTAATAGGCTGCCTTTTGAGGTAAGTTCCAGTTTTAGGTTCAACTGGATTAAATGTGCCCAGCTGACATCATGCTGTGTAAATCAAAGTCCTACTTTCAGTTGGTTAGAGTGGACTGGTTTGTGCCTTTAGACCAGAGGTCTCCAAACGTGGCAACTTTTAAGACTTGTGGACTTCAACTCCCATAATTCCTCAGCCAGCCAGCTGAGGAAATCTGGGAATTGAAGTCCATAAGTCTTAAAGTTGCCAAGTTTGGGGACCCCTGCTTTAGACTGTATTTTGAAATGTGCAGATTGTCAGGAGACAATTGTGCCTCAAAACAAAACAGCCACTTTTGACTACAGAAATTTGCAGTTATATTTTTCAACCTAATTTAAAAAAAAAATAGGATCAGATTATTTGAAAGACCATTGCAACTCAGATGTCCCTACTTAAACCTCAGGATCTGCCTGATCTTTTTTTGTTCCTGTAAGAATAATTCAGCAAGCACACACTGTACAGGTAGACATTGACTTACGACCACAGTGGAGCTTACCCATCATGGTCGTAACTTGTGACAGTCACAAAATGGGTCAGACACATGACTGACCCACTCGATGACCTTTTTTGCAGCAGCTGTTAAGCAAATATCGCAGTCATAAAGTGGCTGCCATAGTCGTTAAGTGGACCAATGGTTTGCTATTGGCACAGTTATGATGGCAAAACCCTCGTAAAACATGGTCACGTGATCACTGGATGCTGCCAACAGCCATAAATGTGGTCCACATATTTGATGTTCAGCACTGTGACCACAGGAGAGGGAATTGTTGTAACTTCGAATCCAGTTCATAACTAGCCCCCAGATAGGCCCATTGTAACTTCAAACAGTCATTAAGCAACCAATTGTAAGTCGAGGACTATCTGTATAGCAAGAGGGTAACTCTTCAACTCAGGAATTCTGTGGAATTTTGTTCCCACTGAGATACTTCCTTTGCCACTACCCAAACAGTCTTTAGCTTTTTTTTTTTTTTTTGGTAAAATGTTTTCCATTTTTCCAGCCTTAACATCAATAATCCATTAGGTGGCTTGAGGTTTGTCAAGAGGCACAACAGTTACAATGCTTTAACAGAACGATCTTAATTGTTGAGGTGCTGTCTGGTTTTATTGTATTTTAGTTTTTTTATGTAAGCTAACAAGACCCATGTGTCTTAAAAGATAGCACACAACTACTTCTTTAAATAAACAAAATTATATATATATTGAAAACAACCTTTCATGACCATAGCTATGCATCTTGGTAGCTGATAGTTAAGTCAAAGCCAGAAAAGCAAAAAAAAGCATCTTTCTACCAAAATTGATCTTGGGTATATAATCTTATTTGTTAAAAGCTACCATTTACTGTAAAGGTTCCTTGCCTCAAGGAGATTTGCGTTCATTGCAGGAAGCCAGATAACTAGCTACAGTTGCACACTCTGGGTATATTATTTCGCTTACATTTAATAATAACAGATAATATTCAAATCTATCAGTTTATTAATTTGAATAAATGCGCCTCTCTTTAGTTGGGATTACTACCCTCTCACTGCATAATTTTTTTCAGTCTCAGATTATTCTGAGGATTAATAGAATTTTTCAGCAGAGCTTAATTTAGCTCTGGCCTTGAGAAGGCGGGAAGAGGGAAAACAAAACAGGTAGGAAGAGAAGTTTGTAAATTTAATCCATTATTATTAAAATGCCAACATTCAATATGGAAGAAGAGAAATTACAGATTGGTCCACATCATAGCAATACAAGTGACAAATCATTTGAAAAAGTTGAAATAAATTACTCTGAACAGACTTAAGAAGTAGTTAACTAATGAACTGAAGTTAACTCCAAATTCCATAAGTTGGCCAGAGAAATAAAGAACATAAACACTCAGCTCAGCAGAACAAACATGAAACAGTTTCTACAGACTAACTATGGTGAAACATGATCCACTAGTTTCCACAGAACTTTTATCTGAGTCAATATACATAGTGTTACATTTGCATGTCTTCACCTTGATTTGAAATTGCCTGCCTTATTTGATTTATACAGTTGTCCTTCTCAGTTGGATAACTTTGGGCAGCTTACAGTTTAAAAATTACAAAAAATAGTACAATCAAGCCACAATTAATGTCTAGGAAACCAATACAGATTCTGTTCAAGTACTGAAGCCACTGAATTAAGCATCATAATCCAGGTCTAGCGAAGGCTGATGAAAACCTAATCAGAAGGGCCTTAAGATCTCCAACCCTGAACAAAATAGGCAAAAAGTAATATGCAAAGCATCTATAATTCCTTGCAACCTAACCGCACTATCCTGCAGCCCCATCCCTAGGAATCATTTGTGTTGCTGCAGCAAACTAAAGAACACACAACAAAACCAATTCTCACCGTCTCAGATTCCTTATTTCAAATACCGTATCTTCGTCACTCTCCAGAGAAGCCATCTCCATAGGATCTTCTGAGTTGGACAGAAGTCCGTATTTTTTCCGTGGAGGTTTCCTTGTCCTACAAAATAAGTCTATAGTCAGTTGCAGAATAGGGACCATGGGGATGCTGCACTTTTTTTCAGTGCTGTTGTAACTTTGAACAGTCACTAAATGAACTGTTTTTAAGTTAAGGACTACCTAGATATGAAATTGGTTCCACATGCAGTCGTATTGAAGAACTCCTCATAGTTTCCCTCAGAGAACTGCCACTATAGGTAGTCCTCGAATTACAACAGTTTGTTTAGTGACTGTTCAAAGTTATAATGGCGCTGAAAAAAATGACTTATGGCCATTTTTCACACTTAGGACCACTGCAGCATCCCCATGGACACGTGATCAAAATTTTGATGCTTGACAACTGGTTCACATTTATGACAGTTGCAGTGTCCTGGGATCATGATGATGATGCTTGGAGACTCTCCTGCCAAGCAAAGTCAGATTCACTTAACAGCCGGGCTACTGATTTAGCAACTGCAGTGATTCACCTAACAAATGTGGCAAGAGAAGTTGTAAAATAGGGGGAAAAGTCACTTAACAAATTTCTCACTTAGCAACATAAATGTTGGGCTCTATTTTGGTCGTAAGTCGAGGGCTATGTATTTATTATCCATCTAATACTTCCTTGTCAATACTGAACAATTATCACACAGAAGCGGCGCTTTACAAAGAGAGGATGCTTGCTTGACTGCTAATAGTTCCTCTATTAGGAACTGAATTAATAGAGATCAAGCTTACTCCCAGTTAGTACTCTTCAGATGCTCTAAGTAAGGCTACTCTATCAACTCCAGCTAGCAGGCCAACTGACGACAGGCTGGGTGGAAGATGAAGATCACAACTTGCGGAGGACGCCCGATGGGAGCAGGCCCTTCTCCTTTAGCCTATAAAAGGCGGCCACAATTGGATTGGGATTCCTGGAGGTCATCTAGACCCACCCCACCCGTATGGAAGCCGTCTTCCTCACCGAAACGTGCGGCCTCCGAGATAGTAGAGGAAGCCGATGCCCGCCAGGCCGGCCAGGACGTAGAGCGCGCGGTGAAGGGCTGGTAGGCCCAATCCTGACAGCCCCGACGGCGGGGGCCTGGATGTCGTGGTGTTTGTGGCGGTGGAGGAAGGCCGGGAGGCACTCTCGTGGCTTTTCTCTTTCAGCGGCAGGGGAGGAGGAAGAGACGCGGCCTCGACGGACACCGTCTTAGTCGATTGCGGCGTCGGCGTCGCTGCGACTACTACGATCCAAAGCGCCAGCGGCCAAACGAAGCCAGTCGCCGCCATTCGGATCGGCGAACGCCGATTCTGACGAAAAGCGGCCCGGACCGGAAGTGTTGCCGGGGGAGGCAGTGCGGTGTCGGATCAACTTCCGGTTCTTTACCGCAATTAGGAAAGTAGGCCGGGTTTCTACCGGGAATTCCCTTGTTGTTGGAGCCGTGAATGGAGGTAGTCGAAAGCAGAACCCGAATATCTTAAACTTAAAATACGGAGTGAAAAATCCGCACAGAGCTAAATAAAAGAGATTAAATGAATATCTGGTCGACTCGTAGAAATACAGTTCCCATGCGGCACTGCCGCATGAGCTAGCCTCAATGGCTATTGGTCAGTTTCCCCATGAATCACGGGAAAGGGGGCGGGGCCTTGCCAGAGCCGACGTATCAGGCTGTTGGCAGTATGATGTGCTGGGAAATGCAGTTCGGCATTGAGCAAAGTTTTCCTTGGAGTGGGTGGAGTTTATGCCGCAGTGCTTCTTGGGAAAAAAATATCCGTTCATGTTCATAAGAGTGAGACGTCCTGCTTCCCGTCGTGCCTCGCGGCAAACCCTCTTTCCCTCCCCCACCGCGGAGTCTGCTGGGAGTTGTAGGCCAGGCTTGGTTCCCGGTCGACCTCTCTGCTTCTCCTCCGCTCTGCCCTTGGCTTCGCCATGTTCCCAGTCGGTCGTTTTCTCGCCCGCGCTTTGGTTTTGGGGTCCCGGTCCCCGTCCCGTCATTATGCCGAAGCGGCGGCAGCTGCTGCTACGGGCCCTGCACAGCTGGCCTTCACCTTCGCCTCGCCCTCTCAGGTATTGTCATGGCAACCGAACTGAGGCGGGCACGTGGGCCTCGGGGCGGCAGTGCCCGACCTGCTTGCTGGGTCGCGTATTCGTTGTCGGAACGGTCTTGTGGGTTTGGGCATCCGTGAAGGTCACGTGTTTTGTTAACCCGGGTTTAGCCTGTTGTAGTTAACCAGATCGAGATGCAAGCAATGTAGGCGGAGAAGGAGGCTGGATTCGCTTAACAACTACATGATTCACTTAATAACCCATGGGGGGAAAAGGCTTTGAAATCGGGCACGATTCACTTAACAGCTGCCTTGGTTTACCAATTGAAATTCTGGTCATAAATCGAGGATTATCTGTATTGGGCTTCCTGGATTGGAGCTGGAGGACATCGTTTCAAATTTTTGGAGGCCATGGGTTCTGTACCCAGATAAATAATTATTTTTTAATTTATATACCATTTGATTGTCAGCAACTCTGGGTGGTATATAAGTATCCTTCATATGAATCAAAAATAATTATCAGCTCTTTCTCTTCTCTCTTGCTGTATTTAAAAAAATTGTGCTGCTGAGCTTTCTCTCCTTTTTAGGTTCCTTGGAAATACACCTTTACAGGTAGTCCTTGACTTACAACCACAATTGAGCCCAAAGTTATTGTCATGTGAATGTTTTTTCCATTTTATGAGTTTCCTTGCCACAGTTGTTAAGTGAATCACTGCAGTTGTTAAATTAGTAACGTGGTTATTAAGTAGATCTGGTTTTCCCCATTGACTTTGCTTGTCAGAAGGCTGCAAAGGGGATCACATGACCTAGGTCACTACACTGGTCATAAGTGTGAGTTCCCAAGCGGCTGAATTTTGATTATGTGACCATGGGGATGCTGCAATGGTTATAAGTGTGAAAAATGATCACAAATCACATCTTCCAGTGCAGTTGTAACTTTGAGCTGTCACTAAATGAACTGTTGTATGTTGAGAACTATCTATTTTCCTTCCTATTTTTTTCCCTACAGGTTTTTTACAACGCTGCCATTGTGAAACAGGTGGATGTTCCCACCTTAAGTGGATCCTTTGGCATCTTGGCCTCTCACGTTCCTACTCTGCAAGTCCTGAGACCTGGCATTGTAACCGTCTTTGATGAGGAAGGCTCCTCCAAAAAATATTTTGGTGCGTGTGAAAATGAAAGCTGGCGAAAAAACAGGAAATTATCTTGGCTGAGGGCATCTTTCAGAAAAGTTCCGCAGCCCAGTTTTCCTCTGAATGAGAATGTGCAAACTGGGCTTGGGAACTATCAGTAATTAGCTAAAGTAACTGCTGAAGTGTTTCTGAGCACAAACTTTTGCTTGAATTAAAACATTCTCATATTTTGCAAAATTATTGTTCACAGCTAGAGAAAGGACTTGTTCACCTCCCCAAATTAGTTCTCTTTCTTCCAAATATTGACTAGCTATTAACTTCCAAAGATTAATTGTGATAATAGCATCAAGGTCACGACAAATAATACCACTTTATACCACACTAAGTGAAGGCACACTTGGAATAAAGCATTTACTTCTGGTCACCGTAATACAAGCATGTTGCTGAGACCCGAGAATAAGGGTCTTCAAACTTGGCAAATTTAAGACTTGTGGACTTCAACTCCCAGAATTCCTGAGCTAACATGACTGGAGGAGGAATTCTGGGAGTTGAAGTCCACAAGTCTTAAATTTGCCAAGTTTGAAGACACCTGCCCTAGAAAGTGCAAAAAAGAATAACTGGTAAAGGTGTGTAGGCTAAACCCTACTGTGAATGGCAAAGGAGCTTGGTATGTCTAGTATATTTAAGACAGGGATGTCAAACTCACATCACGGCGTCACTTGACATATTGGGACTTTTTCCCCCCTTCACTATACTGGGTGTGGGTGTGGTCAGCATGTGACACATCCAGCCCGCAGGCCAGGAGTTTCACAGCCTTGATCTAAGAGAAGAATTGAGGGAGAAATTACCATTCTCTTCTAATACTTGACTGGTTGTCTCAGAGAAGAGGGGACTGACTTATTCTCCTAAGTACCAGAAGGCAGGACAAGAAGCAATGGGTGGAAGCTTGTTAAAGAGAGAGCCAACCTAGAAGCAAGGAGAAATTTTCTGACAGAACAATTAATGGAGTAGCTTACCTCCTGAGGTTGTGGGTGCTCCATCACTGGAGGTTTTCAAGAATAGACTGGACAATAATTTGATCAGGGTGATATTAGGTCTCCTGCCTTAAGCTGTGGGCTGGGCGTAGGTCTCCAAAGCCCCTTCTAGCCCTGTGATTTTATGTTCAATGTACCTGTATATGCACAGAAAGGATTAAAAGTGGCCACGCTCACTCTCCTTCACCCACTGAGCTGATAAAATGAAGGTGATGGCAGCAATGCAAGATGCCTGATTTGGCAACAGACAAATTTGTTAATGGCCGTTACAGCCGCACTGAGAAAAGTGACTAATGATCGTTTTTCATACTTATGACCCTTGCAGCATCCCATGGTCACATGATCAAAATTCAGACAGTTGGCAACTGGCATGTATTTATGATGGTTGCAGTTATCCGGGATCATGGGATGACTTTTTACAACCTTCTGACAAGCAGAGTCAATGGGGGAAGCCAGATTCACTCCACACCCATAACTGCATTGATTCACAACACTTGTGGCAAGAAAGGTCGTAAAATGGGGCAAAAACTCAACTGTCTTGCTTAGCAACAGAAATGTTGAACTCAACTGTGGTCATAAATTGAGAACTACTTCTACTTCACCTCAGTTAAGAGAGGAAGCCCCTAACACCCTAATCCACTCTAGTTATATTTAGATTGATTAGATTCCCTGGTTAACTTTCTCCAGGCATGTTAGACTACAATTCCCAGGATTCTTCATCGTTTCTTCATTGAAATTTGAATTATTGGGTGGGGGGAGGTGGTATTGTTTCTAGGCAAAACTTAAGCCCTTTTTCTTTGGGAAAATGTTTTTTTTCCTGCAATGCATTTTTGTGGAGAAGAGGAAGATATTTGGGGAAACCTGAGGATGTACCTCAAGCATCCAGCAGAAATCTTCCTTTTCCTCTGGATATTTTAAATAATTAGTGGGTTTGTGGTTGCTCTTATTTTGCTGGTGGTTTTGCTTTGGCTTTGTTACAGTCTGCATTTTCTGACCTCTGGCTGGTCCTCCCACCATCATTGATTGTAGTTTTGTACCTCATGCATTTCATTAGCCAGGCATCACCCAGAGAACATCCATCATTGCCTAGCTAGAAAAGGAATGAAATAAGCAAATCTCTGTAGGGAGGGAATTCTAATTACTTGGGGCCTTTGACACTGACTGATTATACCATTTCTTTGCAATTGTTGTAGTGAGCAGCGGTTCCCTCACTGTGAATGCAGATTCCTCAGTCCAGCTGTTAGCTGAAGAAGTGGCTTTATTGGATCAGCTCGATGCTGCGGTTAGTATTGGTCTGTCTTCTTTTCATTTCTTCCTTCCACCACCTCCTGCAGGCAATCCCCACTTGGCTGCCAAATTAGGAGGGATTTCTCTGCACCATGCTGACTGAGCAGCACTACAGTTCGCTCTCTTTTTTTTAAAAAAAAAAAATCAATTCTGCTGCAGCTCAATTACCATTTCAGTCAGTATTCAAATTAAAAAAATGGTTTGGTTAAAGAAGTACTCATTTTTGTAGTTAAGTTTGAAATGAAGGGTCCTGAGAGCAAACCCCATTCCTTGCTAGCACTGATGATGTTACCTAGTTGGGTAATGAAATGTTTGCAAGAAAACTACCAAACTCAGAGAGCACCAAAGATCTCTCAAGTACTAATCTCTTGAGTATTAAAGACTCTATAGAAGACATGAATGGGACATCCTGCTCATTAATGCAAACATGCCAGTTGGCAGTCTGGTTTTTGTCTGATTTTTGGCAGTCTGATTCTCAGCCATCCAGGTCATGGCTGTCCCAAAGGTGCTTTTTTCAGGAGGCAACTGGACTTTCTTGTTTTTTTCTTTTGAAGATGTTTTGCTTCTCATCCAAGAAGCTTCTTCAGCACTAACAGGATAGTGAGGAATGGAAGGATTTATATTCCTTGCAGACAGCTGGTCATTTGCATCCTTTTAGAGTAGTTGAGGCCACTTGGAGGTTTATGTGTCCTTGGGATCACCTGAGTAGTACTCCTCGTTCCTGTAGTCTGCAGTTTTTTCCTCTGGAAATCCATTCCTACTCCCACATCATTCAAAGAGTGTTCATCCCAAATTGTGTCATGCCCCTGGTGGAGACTGACTCTGAGGGAGAAGAGGAACAGCCCACAGGGAGTGGAAGTGTGGCTCCAGAGGTTGTGGAGGAGGCTGGGGAAGGGCAGAGGCCGGCTGGGCAGTCAGAGGAGGACCCAGGTCCATCCCCTCTCCATCCTAGGGCACGTAGGGAGGAGAGGATAAGGGAGAGACGTGGTCTACTGGGGAGGAGAGGGCCTTGATCCTCTTCATGGGCTGCAGCTGTGACAACTGGATAAGAGGGTGGACATGCGTACGGGCAAGCGCTGGAAACAAAGCATGGAAATATCTCTAGTTTATTGTTCCTCTCTGAGTTTGGCGTCCTTCCCAATGTGTGTTCTGATATCTGTGGACGTCTTCCAGCCCTTATCTTGCCTGGCTTGTGTTGTTTTTTTACTCTTTATAATTTAAACGGCATTTCCTCCTTCCTGTAACTGCTCGTGTGGGAGTTTTTTGTCTCCAGTCAAGGATATTTGGAGCTGGGAAGCAAAGTGAAGGAATAAAAGGGGCTTCACCTGTTTTTTGTGACTGTGTTTATTTTGTGTCCCACCCTGGGTCATCACAAATTGCTCAAAGTCCGTAGAGATTCTCAGTCATCCAAGTCATCCCTGCTGGTTCGCAATTCTGGGAGTTGAGGTCCCTGCATCTTAAAAGTTCCTGAGGTTGAGGAACACTACCCTACAGAGCAGGGGCCTTTCGATCCACATCCATTTCTCTTTCCCTACAAGGCCCCCATATCGACTGATGTTGCTTCTTTTGCCTTAAACCAGGGGTGTCCAACCTTGGCAACTTTAAGACTTGTGGACTTCAACTCCCAGAATTCCTCAGCCAGCAAAGCTGGCTGAGGAATTCTGGGAATTGAAGTCCACAAGTCTTAAAGTTGCCAAGGTTGGACACCCCTGCCTTAAACCCTGATATCTTTTCCTGTACACAGACAGCTAAGTCAAACTTGGACAAAGCATTGTCAGAACTCACATCGGCCACCAACGAGGTAGCGAAAGCAGAAGCCCAGATCAATGTGGAAGCCAACGAAGCACTTGTGAAAGCTTTGGAGTGAGCAGGTAAGTAATTCTCGTTGGGTTTCCGCTTCGGTTGAGCCTCCGACACCTGCTTAGAACTCCCTGTTCAGTCGGCAGCCGGCATTTGAGGATTTATAGTCGAGGACCGCAGGTTTTTTTTTTTCTGGCCAGGCAATACAGATAGTCCTTGACATATGACCACAACGGAGCCCATGATTTCCATTACTAAGCAAGACAGTTAAGTGAATTTTGACACATTTTACTTTTTTTTTGACGCGGTCATTAAGTGAATCACTTAAATTGTTAAGTTAGTAACATGGTTGTTAAATGAACCTGGTTTCCTCATTGACTTTACTTGTCAGAAGGTCACAAAAGGTGATTGAAGAACCCCAGGGGCACTGCAACCATCATAAATACATGCCAGTTGCCAAGAGCCTGAGTTTTCATCACATGATTGTGCAGATGCTGCAACGGTCATAAATGGGAAAATGGTTGTGTCCTTTTTTTTTCAATGCTCTTGTACCTTTGAACAGTCACTAATCAAATGGTTTTAAGTTGAGGATTATCTGTAAATGCTATGTTCTTGAGAGCTGGGCATGAAAATATTTTTAGCATCATACGCCATAGATAGGGGTCATGCTATTTTCCAAGGCACTTGAAGGCCAGACAAGGAACATTGGAGGGAAACTGATCCAGGAGAGATTCAACCTGGAAATAAGGAGAAATTTTCTGACGGTGAGAACAATCAACCCATGGAACAGAAGTTGCCCTCAGAAGTTGTGGGAGCTTCATCACTTGAGACTTCATCACTTGAGAAGACATAGGACTCCTATCTATCAGAAATGGTGTAGGGTCTCCTGCTTGGGCAGGGGGTTGGACTAGATGACCTACAAGGTCCCTTCCAACTCTGTTAACCTGTCATGGTGGCAGTATTTTATATATAAAGATACAGGTAGTCCTCAATTTATGACCGGTCACTTAACAACTGTTTGAAGTTACAACCAACCTGAAATAGGGAGAAGAAAGAGGGAAGAAGGAGAAAGAGGGAGAAGAAAGGGAGGGATGGAGGAAGGAAAGAAGATGAAAACGGGAAGGAAGGAAGGAGAAGTAGGGAGGGAGGAAAGAAGGATGGAAGGAACCACACACAAGGACCCCGTGCCACCTAGGTAGGCCATCAAGCATTAAGAAAGGCCATGCTCAGGTGAGATTCGGCAGCCGCCAAATGTAGTTTGATCACGACCTGCCAGGTTTGGTCATTCAACATACAGGGTTTTTTTCCCCCTTCTTATCTTCCCATTTCCTCTCTGCACTATGATTCATCAGAAAGCCTTTTCTTGGGCTCAACAGTGGAATAAAATAGCTTCTGTAAGGGGAGCACCCCAGGTGGACACCCAGAGTCCCAGACTGAAGCTTTGCTGGCTGGGTTCCCATAGCTTGCTTTTAAAGCGTGGATGAATTTGTGGATTCTGGGCATTGGGGTGCTTTCCGTGGACAGCAGGCCCTGGTAAGGTCAGAACCTGGCTTGATACCTGGATAGGAGACCACCGGGGGTTGGGGAGCATGAGGACAATCAGCTAGCCTGGGAAATTTAAAATGAGCCATGTGAAGGCAACGCTGCTTTTCTGTAATGGAGCCAATAAAATTGCACAGGCTTGTTCATGACATCACCAGGATTTGGGCTCCACCCAAGGAAGACTTTAACTTTGAGTGGGGGGAAACCTAGCCCGATCATGTCTAGGTCCTCATGCTAAGCCATCGTCCGATTCATGCGTTGGGGCAAAGCCTATTGTGTGAATGCAGCAATTATGAATGGCCGGCTGCTTTCTGTCTGCAAGGAGAATGCTGAAAAAGCCACTTCTGGCCACCCAGTACAGCCTTCTCTTGGCATGGAGGAGCAGCTACATTTTCTCTCTCTTTTTAGTATGGTTTCGTCCTACTCCGGCCTAGCATGTTCCGGGTAGATAGGATTGCAACGGCCAGGATTCAGCAGTGCGTTTTCTGTGCACGTCAGGAACTCTGGCCCAGTGCTTCTGGAGGCGGGGCTGGCCAAGAGAACGCTGCATTCGAAGGAAATTGGGAAGATGAGTTTGTTTCCTACCTTCCCCAACCTGAAGATGTGTGGACTTCATCTCCCAGAATTCCCCAGCCAGAGTGGCTGAGGTTGGGAAATACTGCTCTAGAGACAATCAGATAGGAGGGAGAAGAGAATTCTGGGAGTTCAAGTCCTCCCAGGCTTAAAGTTGCCATGGTTGGAGATCCCTGGTCTAGGTTGCTTGCAAGCAAAGACATAATTGCATTTCCTCTGGGTTATTCAATTTCCCGACAAGCCAAACTAGATAATCCAAATCCAGTCAGATTATAAATGTCCATTCTGGGAAGGTAAAGCGTTGGGAGTGTTGCTCGGCATCTCTCTGCCACTAGGTGGCGGAGCAGGATAAAGAATTTGGATAACCCTGACCTGCATTGAGGTATGTCATCCTATAAGAATTTAAACTGAATGCACTTGGATTTCAGTGTAGGTAGTCCTCAATTTATGACTGATTGCTAAGACACTGTTCAAAGTTACGATGGACCTCGAAAAAAAGCTACAATCACTCGACTGCGATTTTTCTAAATGTTTTTGTCGGAAGTCAACGTTTGCTTCCATTTCCAGAGAAAGGCAGCCCATTAGCAAATGATGGTTTCCCTTAATGACTGTTGGGGTTTGCTTTGTGACTGCCACATTTGTTGAACAGCGGCCAGAAAAAAAGGTCATAAAATTGTGCAGGTCATAAAATTGGTGACCCGCTTTACGACCATCACGACCTCTGAAGGAAATTGTGGGCTCAATTGTCGTCATAAGTTGAGGACTACCTGTATTTGTAATACAGGCCTCTAAATTAAGGCATAATGTCCATGTGGAGGAAGAAGCCCAAAACTGTCACTCAGTAAGAAAAAGGAAAAGTGCTTGTAAAAATTGAGAGGCCAAACTGCATGCAAACAGAATGGAATAATAGATTTGGAAGGGACCTTGGAGGTCTTCTAGTCCAACACCCTGTTCAGGCAGGAAACCCTATACCATTCCAGACAAGTGGTGGTCCAGGCTCTTCTTAAAAACCTCCAATGTTGGAGCACCCACAGTTTTTGGGTAGAGCCATGGTGGCGCAGTGGTTCGAGTTCAGTACTGCAGGCCACTTCTGCTGACTGCCAGCTGCTGGCAATTAGGCAGATTGAATCTCACCAGGCTCAAGGTTGACTCAGCCTTCCATCCTTCTGAGGTGGGTAAAATGAGGACCCAGATTGTTGGGAGAAAGAGGCTGACTCTATAAACCACTTAGAGAGGGCTGTAAAGCAGAATATAAGTCCAAGTGCTATTGCTATTTTGGCGGCAAGTCGTTCCATTGATTAATTGTTCTCAATATCAGGAAATCTCTCTTCAGTTCTAGGTTGCTTCTCTCCTTGATTAGTTCCCACCCATTACTTCTTGTCCTGCCTTCAGGTGCTGTGGAGAAATGATCATATATATGTGCTAGTTAACTGCTAATGTAACCTAGCTGGGTAATAAAATGTCTGCAAGAAAATAGCCAAGCTCAGAGAGTACCAAGGACTCAGCAATTCAATCCTGAGCTGCAAATATTCTCTTCTATTGGATAAAGATCTTTCCATCTACTCATTTTTAATCCTTGAGAAGGTTGCTGAGTTATTAACGTGGAAGGGGCTGGTTTTCTGCAGAGCCCCCTCTACCAAACTTCATTTATTTGTGGCAGCATTTCTTTTAAAAATTGCATTGTCATCTTGGGGTAGGAATTAATTCACTCTTGTTGCCAAAACAAAAACAGTGCTAAGTTGCAAATCTTGTCTGTGCATGACTTGTTTTGATTGGCAGAAGCTCTGCAAAGTTTTAGACAGGTTTTTCCCCCCAGTCTTAATGGTGATTAAACACGGACCTCCTGTATGTAGAACGGGTGTTTTACCACTGGGCCTATCACTATGGGGAAGTGGAATTATACAGCTTCAGCCTGTCATGGGAGAGGAGAGGAGAGGAGAGGAGAGGGGGGCAGGGAGCAGGACCTGAGCGGCAGTAAAGTTGTTTTTTATCTAATTTCTGTTCCAAACCCAGAAAGCAAATAGCCAGGGTCAACTTGCAACACAAAACCTGGCTGTAAAATTTCCTGATCTTCCTTCTCTTTCTTCGTTACAGGAAATTCCACCACTGTTGCTTCAGAAGTGGCTTCCTTAAGTTCTGGACCTCTCCTCATCCTTCCCTCTCTTCTTTTGGTCTGTACAGAATTTGTGAATAAAGCTTGACAATGAACTGTTACTGATTAAAGCAGAAGGTTGGGCCAAAGCTCCTATTTTATTCCTTGACTTTTCTGTTGGTTTTTCAATTATGGCACCTGAAATCAGCTTGCCATCTTTATAAAATACAGTGGATACATGGCGAAAACCACGTATCTAAAATCAAAACAGTCTCTGTTTCTTGACCAGGGTATATATACGCTCCTTATGGAGACATCCAGCGGTTAGTGGGTATGTGCATTCAGCAATAAAAGAAATAGCTAATTTCAGATATCTGAACTGTTCTCAGGCATGAGGGGGATCCCTTGGTGCTCTCTGAACTTGGTTGTTTCCTCGCAGACAAACTAGGTGACATTTTTTGTGCACTGATAAAGTTAGCTAGTTTGGTAAGGAAACGTCTGCAGGAACGCAGCCAAGCTCAGAGAGCACCAAGGACTCCTCATTTCAACCCCGAGCTACAAATATTCTCCTTTATTAGTGTTCAGACAACAATTGGTGTGTTTTTAGTCTCTTTGGAGAAGGCGAGAATTAGTAGATAAAAATGAAAGACCAAGCGCATTTTTGCTAACTGTTGGAAAATAATGTCTTGCTAGTAAGAGTTGCTCAATGGGGGAATTCTTCTTCACTCAAAGTACAGGTCGTCCTCCACTTACAACCGTTCATTTAGTGATTGTTCAAAGTTACAGCAGCACTGGAAAAAGGGACTTATGACTGTTTTTCACGCTTAATGGCCGTTGCAGCATCCCCGTGGTCACGTCATCAAAATTCAGATACTTGGCAAACTGGTTCTTATTTGTGACGGTCGCAGTGCCCCAGGGTCACGCGATCCCCTTTTGCGACCTTCTGACAAGCAAAGTCAATGGGGAAGCCAGCCGGTTTACTAACTTATCAGTTGCAGTGATTCACTGAACAACTGAGGCAAGAAAACTTAAAGGGGCAAAACTCACTTAAATTTCTCACTTAACAACAGGAATGTTGGGCTCAGTTATGATTGTAAGTCGAGGACTACCTGTATGAAGGCATAAGATGAATAGGTGAACATCAGGTTTGTAAAAGGTGTAATGTAGATATGAAATTCTAGCATCAAGCTCAGAGTTGGACAAAATGAACTCCAGATTCTCCAAGTTCTCTCATTCCACCTGGGATCCCTTTCGCTCAAATAGGAATGTCAAGCCCATTAGACAAAAATAATGTTGAACATTCACTTTGCAACACTATTGTTATGAAAACCAAACATACAACCCACATTCCCAAATGTTGTTTCACTAAGATAAGCCTTTAAAAAAAAAATTGCCTCCCAAAAGTGGGCCCTTAAAGCACTTCCCTTGAAGGCTACGTAGCTCTCTGGCCTGATACCTTGCATTTAAAAATATTGCTTTAATTTCAAAAATGTGTGCTGCCAGCATGCTACGTAACAGCCATTCCTGGTATGATCTTTATTTTCTGAGAATGAATCAGAAAAGAATCAAAATCTGGCAAGATTTGCTTGCCTTGCAAAAATTTTGGACCCCTCTCTACAGGTGGTCTTTGACTTACAACTGTTCATTTAGTGACCGTTCAAAGTTACGATGGCACTGAAAAATGTGACTTACGACCGTTTTTCACAGTTACGACCTTGGCAGCCTCCCCAGGGTCACATGATCTAGATGTCAGCATTGCAAGTAATGCAGCCATTTCAAAGCAGAACTCTCTTAGGCAGGTTTGATTCAGCTTCGGGCCTGACGTCAGATACTTGGCCAACTGGCTCATCTTGATGACCTTTGTTGTGTCCCATGGTCATGGGATCACCCTTTTTGCGACCACCTGACAAGCCAAGCCAACAGGGAAGCCAGATTCACTTAGCAACCGGGTTGCTAACTTGTCAGCTGCAGTGATTCCCTTAATAACTGTGGCAAGAAAAGCTGTAAAAACGAGGCGAAACTCACTCAAATGTCTCACTTAACAACAGACGTTTTGGTCTCCATCGTGGCTGTAAGCCGACGGCTACCTGTGTTTACTGTTTAAAGAAACAAATTAATTGGGAGGTACTACAGATAGTGGGAGTAGGATTCCTCACAAGCCGTGGTTCTTTTTCAGGCACCGAGTTGGAGGGAAGGCATGTTGGAAATGTTCACCGCCATGGTTGGCCTGGGTGGGTGTGGGTGTGGATGTGGGGAGGTCACGTTATCTCCAGAGTTTTCTAACAGAATCTTTACCAAGAGGATCTGGGAATATCATTGGCAAAGTTGAACGTCCTTGGCATATAAATGGGGTTTTGATTTTGACTTTGTGGAGGTCCTTTATTTATTTATATCCCGCCTTTATTATTTTTTACAACTAACCCAAGGCGGCGAACATATCCAACACAGCTGCTTCCTCCTGGCTTTCCCCACAACCACCACCCTATGAGGTGGGGTGGGCAGAAAGAGAGGGACGAGCCCCATGATGGCGAACCTGTGGCACATGTGCCAGAGGTGGCACACAGAACCCTCTCTGTGGGCATGCACACTGGCCAGTTGGTCTTCGCGGGCTCCAGAGTACCAGAAAACAGCCCCAAAACCAGCCCATTTTTTGGTCTGTTTTCAGGTTGTCTTCTGGGCTGTTTTTGGAAACGAAAACAGCCCCAAAACAGCTAAAAAACTGGTATGCGCACACTGGCCAGCTGGTCTTCAGGTTTCCGGCGCTCCGGCATGCACACATGCGCTTGCATGCACGGGCGTTCCAGTTTGGGCACTGTGCCGAAAAGGTTCCCCATCTCTGGACTAAACCAAAGTCACCCAGATGATTTTCAAGGTTAAGGTAGGACTAGAACTCGCGCTCGCTTGCTTCCTAGCCTGATGCCTTAACCATCCACCAAACCCACCTCTTTAGGTTTATGTTCCTAAGTCAGTTTTGTGTAACCTGGTCATCAGAGTCAAAACCCGACTTGGACATAGACGAGAGTGCTGTAATGCAGCTCTTATTGCTGTCTGTTTGGGCTTGCTTTATTTATTTTTTCTCAAAGCAATTTCTCAGATACGTTGCAAATCATCTTGAAAAAGTAGTTTGTTTGCTTGTTTTGTTTTGATTTCTTTTTAAAAATATATACTTGGACTATTTGAAATCGGCACAGAGGAAGTTGCAGTTCCAGAGATGGTTGCAGACAAAATCCATACACCATCCATTTTCAGGAAGGGGGGAGAACGTCTGTCTCAGCTCTCATTTGGCCGAACCTCCCATTTCCCCGCAACCCAAATTGGCTCTTCGCTTTCTCTTCCTCCTCCTTCTCCTCACCCTCCCTCGAATTTCACCCGTTCTGCTGTGACGCCGGCTTAGTGGGTTGTGCCCACGTCAGCCTGGGTGTGATGATGCCGTTATTTTTGGTCTTTTGCCACCTAGGATGCAGTCTTGGTCCTCCTCTCCAATCCTGTCTTGCATCGCCACCTCTCTCGCGCGCGTATATTCTCACTCTCTCTTGCAAGAGATCAAAAAATAGACCCTCTGGGTCTTTTTAAAGCTTTCTTTGCTTATGAGTTTATTAAAAGCAACCAGCGGATTATTCCAAGCTTGTCTTGTCTCCTGCTTCCCTCCCTCTTCCCCACCCCTCCTTCTCCCCAGTCTCTTCCTTTCTAAAGGTCAGATGTTCTCGCCACGCACAGAACACAACCAGAGCTGATCCTAATTAGAACATGACAGGAATAACCAGCAATAGACCACCATCTTTTGATGTTCTGCTTCCGGCTTTGCTTTTCTCTTCAGCTCCTTTCTTTGTTCCACCACACCATCCAGCCCCTCCGTTTCTCCCCTCAACCCTCCAAACCTCCCTCCCTCCCGCAATAATCTGCTTCTGACAGTTTAGTAAAATATCTTGGGTTGGCTGGCAATAATAGATGTTGTGGTTTAAGCTGTATCTTGCTTAAGAAGTTTGCCTGCTCTTCTTTTTTTTAAAAAAAAGACAGCATCTAAGAAAGCAGCCAGTGCTGCATATCTCACAGAGTGGGAGTTATGCAAATCTTTGCGGAGGGGGCAGAAAATACTAGAAGGAAATGTCTGCTACATTCGCACAATGCGCTGATCTATCGCGGGGTTGGTTTCAGAGGGTGGTGACACGTTGTCTGAATCCAAGCATCGGGTGTTTATAAAATGATGGTCCGGCTATTGTATAAGCCCATCCAACTGTAGTTGGATGTATTTGGATACATCCAAATACATCCAACTACAGTTGGATGGGCTTATACAATAGTTGGATATATAAACTGTCTAAAAAGAAGGGAGTGTCCAACCTCGGGGAGTTTAACACCTGTGGACTTCAATTCCCAGAATTCCTCAGCCAGCCCGTGCGAAGCACGAGCTCACCGAACCCCGTTGGTCCCACCGGTTGAATCGCACCCCTGGTCATAAGCGTGAAGAGCGGTCGCAAGTCACTTTTTTTCCGGTGCCGTTGTAACTTCAAATGGTCAGTAAATGAACTGTGGTCAATATGCTTCGGATTAAATCTCCCCAGCTGTCGGGGGTTGTCCTTCTTCCTTCTGACACTTGTTTTTCAAGGAATTTTCCCTCATGCGTTTCATACACACACACACACACATCCTCCCCATCCCTTGGCTGTCCTAAGATGGCTTTTCTCCGGGTAATGAGGTATGAGGTGAGGAATGTGGGCTGCTGGCCAGGAGTCCTTTCCCTGCCCCCCTCCCCCGGCCCCACCAACGCCTTCTCCTCCCCCCTTATAAGGTTCGGTCTCTGAGGCCTCCTTCGCTCGCCTCCTTTCTAGGGAAGAGTCGGCCCAAAGGAAGCCTCTTCCCAAGAGTCCAGCTGCCTCCTTCGCCCTTGTTTGCCTTCCCCCGGGAAATGTCTGAAGTGGGCTGGGGCTGCCAGCGGCCTGGCTTTTGAGAGCCAAGGTTTCCGGCCAGGGGCCAGAACAGAAGCAGAGGGAGAGATGAGAAATGAGGGTGGACGGAGGCATCCCTGCTGTTAGTTTTCAACAGCCAGGCGAGTCCTCCAAGGTTGGTCTGGAGGAAAGCATGTTCCTCAAGAGCACAGGAGGTCTTCAAACTTGACGGCTTTAAGACGTGTGGACTTCAACTCCCAGA